TTTAGAGTTGTTAACTCCACTTTACCTGTTGGAATGAGTTCCAAGAAGGGCTGCAGGTAGCTGCAGTGAAGAAAGGAAAGATAATTCCAGAGCGTCAACGATATTATAGTAGTTATGTAGTACCTAAAAAGAGATTTACGACAAGGTAATGAAATGCCAGGTTTCAATTTGACACATATGATATTGTTCAGTATTTACAAACGTTTTCTTGTGAAATTTTTCGATTTGTATAAAACTTTGTAGGACACAATTTTTGTGTCAGATTTTGCTGTAACTACAACTTGTTAGGTAACCTACAGCAATTTTTTATATCGCAAATTATTCCAGACAAGTCATTATTATACAAGTTTAAAAGCCAAATCAAAAAGTTTGACCAAATAAAATAGCACAACAGTGTTCCATGCCGTAGATGTTTTAAATTAATTAGAGTTGATATATTGATAGATTTAGCTGGAAGGCGCTGAAAAAAGTATCAGTACTACAGAGCTCTCGTTATTTGAATAAAAAACTATCCAACGGACAGAATCGTAATAATTTACATTCAGTCAAATTTTTCTAAGGTTACTTTTAACAAACAAAATCTAACTTTCAATTGAAACCCTCCCCCCTCCCAATTAACTTTCAAGACAAAAGTATTTACATGTTTAATTGACGCCTAAGAGTTAGTGCCAATTTGAGTACCGATGAGACAAATTATTTATTGTCTTCAAAATTTTACAGTTTTATCTGCTTCGTCCTAAGTATATCTTTTCCAAATTTAAATTTGATATGTTTTTTTACGAGAGAAACAAGACGAGACAAGATGAAACGAGAGAAAGGCTCTCTCAAGAGAGAGAAGCGCCTTCTCTTCGAGACGAGAGAACATTTTTCTCTCGCCCTACAAGACGAGACAAAAGAGGCCTCTCTCTCGTCTCGTCTAGCGACATCACTAATTGAGATACACTAAAAATAGTCGACTATTTATCAAGGTCTCGTTATATTACCCTTTAAAATTATAAATAATAAAATGGACAGTGACATATTAAAGAAATAGGGAATACCATTACAAAAGTCTTATTGCCTCAAACATCGGCGAAAAAATACAACTTAGCTTATTAAAGATTTATGGATTGGCGCTAACTAAATAAGGTAAACTCATTTTCAGAAATAATTTGAATGGCTTATTTGGAACGCTATTGAGGTCTTTTAAATCTTCTACATTATGGTCAATTTAATAAAAAAATTGAAAAGTCACAAATCCCTAATGTAAGGTAGGTATATAAGTATAACAAACAAAAAATAAGTGAATAAATTATGCATTTTAAATTTTAAATTAAATTTGTATCAAAGAAATAAGTTATAAATTTAAATACAATAAAATACTTATTTACCTCTTATTATTTCTAATTTTAAATCGTTAATAAAGTTTTAGTAATTGTGGTCGTAGAAAAAAAATAGTGTGCATCTATTGTCCCTGTACAATATCTAGCAACTCCACAGAAGGGTTCTGGGACTGTTATGGTTTTATCTGAATCTTCTCTGGCTAGTTCGTCGTCCTTTTTTTTGCTTTGATATCCTTCGTGGCCTGGTATCCAGGCTACACGTTGTTTTGACAACTTAGTTCTGTGCGTGCTTCTAGGCAGTCTTTCACAAGTCATGATAATATATTATTTCTGCTGAAAGCATTGTCTTTAGAGCTGCTTGACTATCAGAGTAGATGGCAATAGTTTTGCATGCTTCTTGCGTATTTATTACTTCTCATGCACAGTGTTGTATGATTATTAATTTCACCTGAAACACTGTTGCGTATTGTCCTAGATTCAGCAAAATCATTATGGGTCCAAAGACTGCAGCACCGACTCCCTTCTTGATCTTTGAACTGTCTGTATACCAGACAAGTTCAGCCTTTATGGGAGGTCCCTGTTTCCAGGATTCTCGACCCCGTATTTTAATTGAAAATGTCTTATAAATTTGTATGTGGATATGGCTATAATCCATTTTTACTGGCTGGTGTAACCTTGTATGGTCACGGCTGTGTAATTGGCTTCAGCCTCTCAATGGCAGACCTCATTTATCCTTGTATGAACATGTGCAGTAGCGTGAGGTTTAATCCTCTATTACTGCAGTTGGAGTAGTACAGATGGCCTTTGTGGTACTTATACAGACTAGCCTCTGAATGTCGTTAAGTTTGCTTATTGAACTTGTCTGTGCAGTTTTAGTTACCAGCGCCATTGCGCCATAGATTACATTGGGTCTTATCACCCTTTCGTATAACCATAGGGTCATTTTGAGACTTCGGCTCCAGATTTTCCTGCATATTCTATAGCTAACGTGAGCTACTGTAACTTTGTTTGCAAGTGTTTTGAAATGTTGATTACACTACACGTCAAAATTTAGTCAAATATGATTCCGCTGTATTTGGCTTTTGTGACAAATGATATACATGTTGTTTAGTACTATACTAGTGGTCTTAGTGTAATCACCCGTTTTTTTGTGACTGATACAACATGTTCTAAGGATACAACTGTTGCTTTTTGTGCGATAATGGACAATTGCTTCCTTTACTTTGTTTAAAGCTGTTTAAGATAGGTGTGCCTACAAGTCACCTCCGGACGATAATTGCTAGTTCGTCCGCATATTATTAAGTTCTACTGGGTCTTCAACAATACCGAAAACACACGTGACCAAATCGTCATGACAGCGATTGGTGAAAATAAAAGTAAAAATCCCTAGATGTGAGCCAGTGCCGTAGGTATTTTACATTGTAATAGATCTTCTTCTTTTTTTGTGGTCTGCAACTACGAAAACAAAATTCAATTAGGTAACTGTTAGAATTACAACACAAAATTATAATATTAATTAGAGGTGCCTTTATATTATTGTATTTTATTGTTAGAATTCGATATTTTAATTAGATTTAGTCAAATTCAATAATCTAATTTTTAAAATTAGGATATAATTAACATAACCTTAAAAACTGAGCTATTTTATCTAGTTTGTATTTAAATGAAAAGAATAATAAACTGAATATGATTCGTACTGGTAACCTATTGCCACTCTTACAAAAAAAAAACCTTTACCAGAACAAGGCGCAAGAAAGTTATGGACAAAAAATGTTATGCATTATAATACGAATAAAATTAAAAATTAGGTATTTACTTTAGATTGACTCTAAAGATAATTAGCTACAGTTGAAACTTTAAATACGATAGGCAGAAGACAATGACAGTATTTGACAATTATTGCAGTTTAAGTAAACAAATTTAAAACTTACTGGAATTGTACCTGGGCAATGGGAAGTAATAAACAAATAATTTTTTAAGTTTGTCTATTATTTATTTGTTACAGGGTTTAAACCATTTACAAAATACATTATGTTACTTATATGTATACAAAAAAATATTAATATTATTAATGTAACAAGCACATATTTGTTTTACCTTACAGCTCTCACTTCAAATTATAAAGGCATACTTATTACCAACTATTTTATTTAAATGGATATTGAGTAGTAATCGGTGGTGCACAAACGATACTAATTCACAGTACCTATCTGTTCAAAATATTTACCACCAGCTTTAATGCAAGCATTAATCATTCTTTTTTAAATACATTATGCAGTTTCTCCTCAGTTATATTCTGTATATCATTTAATATAGGTACTCCAGTTCATAAACATCGAAAACGATTTTGAATTGAGCGATCTGTAATATTCCATAGGTAGGTTTAACAAAATTAAGGTAAAATGATTGTTGCAGTACCGAAACTTTATAGGGGATGCATTATCAGAAATGTTTTCAATACTTTATGGCTAGTTCGTAGTGACAAACCTAAAAAAAATATGTTTTGAATTTCACTTGTCACAGTCAGTCTTTGAAACACCGTTCATACCTGTTTGAGGTGCTGTTTTTTACTAATTTATTAGGAATTTGCACTATGTTAATTTGCACATCTTCAACAGCTTTTGTTATTACTGTGGGCCTTTTAGAGCTTTTTCCTTTTTTATAATTTTGAACAAGTATTTGTTTATGACGACAAAAACGAATCACATTCCATTTATTCACCTGGAAAACGTTCCTCAAATTTTCGAATACAATTAGGAATATAAAATAATTTTGTTTCTGTGTAATATTACCTAAAATAAATTATATATAGTCATTAACTTTTACGAGTTACAGTAAATAAATGTGTACTTACCAAAAAAAAGAATTAAGCCACCAATAATCTCTAAAAATAAATAATTGCTTTATTAATATTAAATGGAAAACCAAATAAAGTTGTTTATAAAATGTAAACAAATATAATATAAATATTGTCAGTCCCCGAATGAACGCCAGTGACATTTTTGACAGGACTGACAGTTCAGTTTAGTTCTTTTTACGTCAAATCAGGCCCTTTCGATGAGTTTTTGATGGTTATCAGATCACGTGGGTTTCGGGTATTGTTGAAGACCTGGTAGTAGCCTTCTTTGGACAATGTTTTGAGTACGTCGTCTACTATAAATGACTACAGAATTGGAGATTGTACGCTTCCTTGTGGACAGCCACGTGTAACTTTTGCCTGTATGGTTGCCTTTCCTAGAGTGGATAAAATGATTCTATTCTCTGGGTTGGCAGTGATCCATTGGCATATTATGACTAAGGAGTTTTTCTAAAGCAGTCGTTATTGACCTGGCTGAGGTATTATTGAGAGCTCCCTCGATATCTAAGGAAGTGACTACTGCAAATTCTTTATCATCTATTGACTTTGAAAGCAGCCTGGTCAGATTGTCCAGCTCTAGGTCAGTTGACTTTCCTAGCTGGTATAGTTTGTTGATTCTTCCTTGAGCTTCTGAATTTATCTTGTCAGTTTTTGTGTTCTATTATTTAAACTTTAAAATTAAAAGTGAAAAATGTTTTTTTTCATTTTATTAAAATTCCTATTTTTAAAAGTTGTTTCATTTTTGAGAAATCCTTCTTAGGCACTTCTAGTGCAAGTATTTCGTCAACATTTTATTATTAGTATAACAATAAACAACAAAACACTTTTTCGTTTTATTTTTATTTATTATCACAATATTTATTTAAAAAATATAAGTACATGATTAAAGAAAGTGCCTACTACTATTATACTATTACTATAAATGTCTTCGTTTTTTAAAACTTAACCAAAATCCATCTTTGCTAGTTAGTACTATTTGTTTAGATAGTCTTAAAGGAACTTTAGTCTTCTTGTTTGGAACAATAGTAAATTTTGATAATATAGAAACAATAAGGGCTTTACTTTCTAAAAGGGCAAATCTGGACCCTAAAAATATAAATAAAAATTAGTAAAAAATGTACAAAATATAATTACTAATTAAAACGATAAAACCTTACAATGACAAAAATTGATTAATTCTGGCTTAGCTTGATTTATGATTATTCATAAAGGATGTTCAATAAATAAATTGATAAACTTTTAGTGGTGGACATGTTGTAGTTTTCTACGATGTAGAGAACTACCTTTTATTATACCCTTCACATAGTAGTCTGTAATAGTTATTTACGATATAAGTGGAATATGAGCTTTATTAACGTATACGCATGTGAAATTTGCAATCACATAAGTTCGTTAATAAAGCGTTATCACACGTATATTGTACAAATTTTTATCTACGCCTCTAAATGTAAAAATAAACGGTAATTATAATTTTTGCCTAAGACTTAATTTAGGGTTATTGTTCTCCATCACTGCCTACATATCGATTGGCAACACATCGAAATGTTGGGTGGCAGTTCTAACAACTGAATAAAAACGTTTTGTTTACTTAGCAACAATAATATTGTCATAAACAATAAGTCAAAAATAATACATTTTTAACGTATTTTTGCATTTTCTAGTAATAAAATAAGTGATTCGAAAAGTGTGCCAACTGATATTGAAGAACAAGCTTTAAAAGCTATTTCCGGTCTGTTACCGGAAAAATTTAAGTGAAAATTCCACACCTGTAATTTTGAACCAATCAAAATACGTATTTTTGACAGATCACCATGGCAACGGAGGTATTTTAGTGGAAATTTTTTTCTCGTGGGGTACCCAACAGCGAATTATACTGGAAATTTTTTGACGTTTACAATAACAGACCATTTTTGACAGACTGGTTTTTATTTGTTCACATAATAGGTTTAGTTTTGATACATTTTAGTTACAATGCTAAGGTGTTTTCTATATTCTTCGGCCACTTCTTTTCTTCTTAATGGCGAAAATGCAGGACTTTGGATGCTTTGAATTATGGGTCTATGTCTAATAAAATATATATAATATTTAGACGCTAATTTATTCACCTTTTTCCCATTCAGCACTTTGAATTTTGCGTAGTTTAGGTGCAAATATTCGTGGACAATTCGGAACAAATTTTCGTTTTTCAAGTTGGAGCCACAATCCTCTATTAATCCGAGTAAGTAAGTCATGGTGCAATGATTGATCATTACATCAGACAATTTCACGCATATTTTGCATAGCGTATGATTTTCAAATCGATTCATTTTTAAACAAATAGGTAATTTTGATGGTTTTACTTGCTGTGCAATATTCTTTATCGCAACAAAACGCGAGTTATTTACTCAGATAAATAAATAAATAATAGATACAGCCCTATCATGCAATATTTGTAACCAGCATCTCCTCTCACTAGATAGCAGTGGTTACACGACTTGATTGGATATTCGCTATTTTGGTTACACACCTGATTGGTTAGCAAAAAATTGACAGGACTACGTCAGTTAGGTTAGTTATTTTATGGTTATTTTGTGGTTTATTTCGTACTTTAATTGGAAAATGTTTGTGGTTTAAGTTATTTTAGTGCATTTAATTGCTTAAAAATGCCAGTGAATTGTATTGTGTGCTCGAGAAAGTATCTCAAGTTCAGTTCGATAACGTTTCATAGGTAAGTAAATAAAAACCATTACCGTTGCATCACACTTTTTTGAGGGGTATCATAATTCAAAATAAGGTTTAAACAATAACAATTTATTTTAAAGTTTAAAATAACATTCAACGTCGAATTTCGAATTATTTTATTGTGCCTGTGTTTAATAACTTTGAATTTATTAATGGGCTATCTTTAAATTAAAGTTATATTGTTATGCACACTGTACATTTAAGAAGGCTCTAGTGGCATTTACTTTAGTTATAAAATCTTAGTATTGCTTTATTTTAATGACAAAATATATAAATAGAACACCATAATTATTTTAAAGTATACTATGTTGCATTCTGTATTACATGAAATCCTATATACCTACCTATATGAATAAGAAAACCCTATTTTATACATATTTAGGTTACCAAAAGATCCTCAAACTAGATATATGTGGATGAAGAGTTTGGGTATACGTGAGGATGAAGAGTGTATTCAGTAGAATTTGTTCTAGACATTTTGAGGATTCTGCCTTTGCTAAGTCTCCAGAAGGAAAAATGTTTTTAATGAAAGGAGTAATGCCCTTAGTTTACTCACAGCCTGAAGCTGTTCCTCAACTGGAAACTGTCACATTCTAAACCTTCTACATCTGAAACTAAGTGAGTATTTGAACAAAAACTATAAATAATAAAAATGTTTTTTTGTCTTTGTTTAATTAATTTGAATATTCCTAAGTATTAGTACGGTAACCAAAAATTTTGTAATTTTTTTAATTACCTATTTATGTTATTTTAATAACACAATAATATATGTAATTATTATGATATGTTTTCTTATTGTCTAAATTAAAATAGGTTTCATTTATCTCAAGTGAATAATGTATATTATATTTACTTATTATATAGTTACACGTCACATAATTAATTTAATTTGTAAATTGTGTAGTAGGAAACTGGTTGCCAGTATCGCATCATCCTGGAAATATCTAATTCGTATTCTTGGAGACTTGTCTCGATTCTGCTTACGATCCTTTAAGTCTTTCAAAGTCATTCGTTTTTTCCACAGGTACAGTCTGAAGAACATCTAAAGCATCCCCTTGAAAGGCGATGGTCACATTTACTTATTTTTCTCGTTCAAACGTCCAGGACGAGATTAAAAAATAATTGGGCAGTATAAGAACCGATAATTGGATCAATCTCTTAAGGGTGCGACACGCTAAGATACTTATGGGTGAATATAACCAGGAAACCATGGCAGGAAACATCGGAAGCCTGTGTGAGTTCTGTATACCCATTTATAAATGGTAATGTTAGTACCCGTGACGCCATCTATGTTTCAGCTTCATATAAGTGTTTCTCCTTATATCACAGTCATCTGTAGTCTGTGACCCCGTAGGATTATAGATCGTACGTAGATGCCGCCACGAGTACTAAATAAGAGTCAGATGCGCATTGTCTCGTATTACAAGCATTTTCGTATTTCATCTTGAGTTTTGTCTAGTATTATAACCATTACTGAATTACTGTGTTTATCAGAATACTAGAGAATAAAAGCTTACAACAAGGTGTTGTTTTATTGAGTAGTGTATAAATAAGGCATACATCATAGCCTGCATCTGCCTGAGCAAGAACAGGCTTCGTATTGTAACAGGGATCCTTACCGGGCATTATCGACTTAAAGGACACCTTAGTAAACTGAGAGTAGTAGAGGATAGTGAGTGCAGATTCTGTGAGGAGGAGGACGAAACCTCCATTCACATTCTAACTGAATGTGTAGTACTCCAGAATCCAAGGGCACTATACCCAGTAGGAGGATATCAAATAGAAAAGAGAGAGAGATTTACCTAACACGAAGCCACTCCAAATCCTACACTTCCTTGGGAAGATAAGATTGGAAGGGTCATTATAGGCATTGAGACATTTCCTTGGTGCATTAGCGACAGAAGGGGCACAATAGATCTTTTAGATCGCAGTGTATTAACACCCCATTCCCAACAACATCTCAAGTGAATGTATATTATATTTTCTTATATTATAACGTCTCATAATTAATTTAATTTGTAAATTGTGTGGTAGGAAAATTGTTGGGTTTTATTTATCTGTAGTTAATGAATATTAGTTTTAGTTATCTAGATACCTGTCACATAATTATTTGATTTATAAATTATGTGAAAAGAAAATTGTTGGCAGCTAAATTATTATTATTATAATCACCCCATTATCCATTATTAATTGTTATTAAACCAAATGAGTACAATAACACAACGTCTCTAAAAAATTGCTTAACGTTGTTAATTCTATTTCTAACTGACAAGAATTCATCGAAATTAAGTTTTATTATTCAAAATATTGTGTATTAGAAAACCTTGGCAATATTTTAAAACGGTAATTATGAACTTATCATTTATTACATAAGTATCGCTTTATTCTAAACTGTTATTATAACATTTGTTTTGTTTTCCAGATCTAACCCAACTATTTAATAAAATGAATTACATACCTATTATAAAAATTGTTTTTTTAACCCTACTTTCCCAATTATTAAAAACCATAAATATTTTGTGCACAAAATTTAATTAACTTAAAAGGGACTAACAATAAACATACTTTATTCTATTTTTTATTACTTATATAAGCGGTACTCATAACAAATCAATAAAAATAATTTACAAAAGAATCGATATTATTAAAAAATATTAGTACAAAAATTTAGAATTTATAAAACCTATCATTGCAACGTTTATTCAAATTATTTGTGTATAAAAATAATGTATGTTTTTAATTTAAAAAATATATGTATATTGGTCGACTGAAAAATTCAATTTTGACGGTTGTCTATAAACATCTCATATTAGAAACATTGATCCATTGAAATATCTCAAAACTAATAAAATAATATAAATCAAAAGCATTTCTATTGACATTTATTTGATACGCTACTGGATAATAAAACTAACAAACCCCGCTCTTCCCCTCCTATCAACTGGCTTGTATATGTTGCTTTCAAACAAACGCAATGTAAATTTTTGACATTCAGTTATCTATTATTATTTATTTATCTGAGGTTATTTAATGTTTTGAACTGTCAAAATACAATGATCACAGCCTCCTACGATTGATGCTTGCTGACGCTGGTTATGAATTTCATACCATTTTAAAGCGCTCATAACGCATGTTAATAAAAACGCAGAAAAACAGTTTTCTACCACTTGTAGTTATTCAAAACTTACGTAAAATTAAAGAATATACTATTTTCTATTTTCAAATGGTATTCCCATGCAACTACAATGAGTAGAAATAAGCAATTTGAAGGCCTAAATAATTGCAGCGAAACATTTTTTTACGTCGGGCCGCTTGACAACTTCAAAACTGAAATTATATTCGAGGTTAGGGTCTCACTTAGTTAC